GGGCTTTTCCTTTTGAAGGTTCAGGGAGATGTGTCAGCCCTGGGAAGTTGGTTTCTGGGCAGATGCCTTTTTCCTTTTTCTTGTAAACTGAAGCATCAAGGCGGAAAAAGCATTCCTGGTGTTTGCGTGATGCCAAACAGCCCGAGTGTGGAAAAAGGGGACGGATCTCCTCTGGGGTGTGCGCGTTCGGGGTGACTTGTGCTGGGCCGCGAGTGCTTTGCTCTTCCACCCTGGGAGGATGTTACGTCCTGCGTCCTCACCGATAAGATCCTTCCCCACTTCAGCACCGGGATCCTCCTCCCAGTCCCAGGGATGCAGGGACCGTCCCTGCTGCCTGGCACAGCCCGGCGCTGCAAGCGGGGCCGTCCTGGCGCGTCCCCCTCCTCTACAATCCGTGTGCCCATGCCGCCCTCTGAGCTGGCTCAAATCCAGCAGCGCTTTATCGCTGGGCTCCGCTGGCAGGGAGCTGCCCCGTCTGCCTGGCAGGGTGACGCTTGGCCGCTGCGGGGTGGCAGTGGGTTGTGCGAGGGGTCGCCCACCCCCCCCGCCCCCCTCCTCGCAGCACGGGGTGCGGGCAGATGCCACGACCGTTCTGGTCCAACCCTCCTTGGCCGGGCTCTGTGCTTCTTCTCCCCCACTGCTGCCGCACACTCAGCGCCTCTCTCATCGCCCTCCTCTGCTTTCGCAGCCGCTCCCCCTCCCCGCTGCAAGCCACCGAGAAGGAGAAGGAGAGTCCTACGGAGCTGGCAGAGAGGTGTCTGCGGGAGCTGCTGGGCCGAGCGGCGTACGGCAACATCAAGAACGCCATCAAACCCGTCCTCATGTAAGTCAGGCATCCCTCGGTTTTGGCGCGAGGGAAACTGAGGCACGGGGAAACAGCCAAGGCGAGCCAGAGCTGGGGCGAGGGCATGGGCTCCTCTGGCTCCCGGTACTGGAGATGGGCACTGGATTTCAGGCTGAGCTCTCATTTTTGGATGCAATGAGGAAGATGGCGTGGGATAGATACCTGTCGCTGAGAAAAGTCATCCCGGAGAGGAGTTTGTGTCCCTGCCCTCCCCTGTTTCCTCCCTGCTGCTTCTGCCTGTCCCTGGTGCTTGGTGCTGCTTTGCACCCCTGCGGCGTTCGGGGAACCGACAGTTACTTTCCCCTCCGTTTCCATCTCTTCCCAGTCACCTGGATAACCATTCGCTCTGGGAGCCGAAGATCTTTGCTACCTGCTGCTTCAGGATCATCATGTACTCGATCCAGGTGGGGAGCTGGCGGGACTCTGGCCGCCGGCACCGGTTTGGGGACGCACGTGCATGCTTGGGAACGTCTGCCTCCACGGCTGGGCTGAGTCAGAGCCGTCGCATTGCCGCATCCCGGCAGTGTCGAGTCCGAGCGTTCGCGATGAGCTCGGTCTCCGAGCGTGTTCCCAAACGGGCTGGAGACGGGCACGGTCCGTGTTTCCGGCGTTGTGGGCTGGGGGTCCCGCGGGGAAATGGTTGCGAGGCGTTAGCCTGGCTGCGTGCCAGCCGTGTGTGGTTTAGGATGCTGCTCACGGAGCCGATATCTCAGTCCCGGGAGCGATTCCCTCCCTTTCAGCGGAAAGCAAAGCCCTGCTGAATCAGACGGGCTAGCGGCGTGCTGTGAAACGCTCCAAAGGAAGCAGCTGGATGCTGATGGAAAGCTGCCCTTTTCCAGATCGCTGCTGTGTAAATCAGCTCCTCATCCCTGCAGAAAAGGAGAGGGGCTGTCCGGGGTGAAACGTGCCCCGGGCAAAGCAGGCGTCCTGACAGCACCTGCAGCCCAGCACCCCGTCCTTAGACATGGGGATGCTCAGAGACAGACCTGCCAGGCTCTTCCCTTCTCCCTGGGGGCTATGGAAAAGCAGTTTAGGTAAACCCCAAAGTGATGAGAAAAGGTCCATCTTTTCTTTTTCCACGTGGATCTCAACAAAACTCTGTTTGCGTGGGAGCCTGCGTGCTGTCGGGCACGGCGCTGCCTTCCCACCGTCCTCCCGCTCTGCTGGGGCTGTCCCAGACCTGCTGCCCCGCTTCGCCCCCTTGGGAGTTTGCTTCACAGCTCTGCTTGGACAACTCTTACGGTGAAAAGCGGATCGCCGCCCCCTCCTCTCGTTTCTTGTTTTTAGTCCTGTAAACTGCCTACAGCCCTTTTCAGTGCTACTAGATTTTATAAAATCCTGTTACTGCATATGGGAGGTGTAAGGACACAATAACTCAGCGGGACCCTTTTGACGTATAGATGTGTTTGGGAGCAAAAATCAAATCCCTTCTCCCTGAAATCCCCAGGATTAATTGTTGCCATTTCCTTAGATCTGGACAGCTCCTTAGATTGTTTTTTCCCGTGGAAATTGCTCCAAGCTCTTGCTCAGTCATGTAAAACAGGCTTCCCCAGGTGCCTCCTCTCATTTTGCATCCGGAGCTGTCTTGGAAAGAGCCGGGCAGGGACTTGGTGCAGCTGGGCACATGTGCAGGATTCGTCCCTGGTAGCCGTGTGGGTTACAGAAACGGGCTGTCACCTCGCGCACGCAGCACCCACGCTGATGTTCGTGCTCTCTTTCCAGCCACAGCACTCCCACCTCGTGATCCAGCAGCTCCTGGGGCACCTGGATGCCAACAGCAAGAGTGCGGCCACCGTGCGCGCGGGCATCGTGGAGGTCCTCTCGGAGGCAGCGGTGATCGCAGCCTCCGGATCTGTTGGTAAGTGGATACATTTATCCTCTCCATCCATCCCTTCACCCTTTTATTGTGGTGGGAGCGGTGAAGAGGTACCCGGAGGTTCGGGCTGGGCTCTGGCGTGTGAGCTGGCGATGGGGGATCCAGTCTGGAGCATCCAGGGGTGCTGGGGATCTGTTCTGTGCCATTTCAGCGCTCCCAAGCGTGACACCCGTGTCCATGTGCAGTGACCTAAACCTCAAGGGCTGAATGCCGTGCCTGCCTTTGCCTTCGTGGCAGGGGGTGACGGGATTTTCAGGGGCTTGCTGTGAATATGCTGAGCTGACGATGCTCCTGGAAGGCCGTTTCTCTCATGTCTTAACTGGGGAAGCTGGTGCGGGTTAAAAATCACCGTGTGTCTGGCCAAAGTCTTTTTCAACCTGTTTATGGGGTGGTGGGAGGTGTAAACCACGCTGTCCTGGGGCAAAGTACAACCTCTGTCGGGAATGCTGCCGCTCTCCTCCGGCAACGCTCCC